GCCTGCAATCCTAGCTACACAATAAGATGACATCTGAAGGATCCGAGTTTGAAGCCAGCTAGCAAAAAGCTGGGCTGGAGGTGTGGTTCAAGTGGTAGAGGGCTGAGCAGAGCAAGCATGAGGCCCTGAATTCAAACCCTGGTACTGGCAAAAAAGTTAAAAAAAAACATAAAAAGGTATGCAGAATGATTGTGAAGAAAGACAGAGCTCAGTAGGCTAGGACATCATGATTTGTTGTTCCAAGTTGACTTCAGATCCATGCTGTTATGCTCCTTCTGAACTGAAGTGACAAATGGGAGTTTCCTCTTAATCACAGAGGGAGATCTCAGGTTCAGTGGATGGATGGATGGATGGGAGTTGTGATAGACAAGAGTCCCAAGGGAGGCTAATTCATAGTCAATCCTGCCTTAATTATAAATCATACTAACAAATTCTTTTTTTTTGGTCAGTCGTGGGCCTGAACTCTGGGCCTGGGCGCTGTCCCTCAGCTCTTCAGCTCAAGGCTAGTGCTCTACCACTTGAGTCACAGCACCACTCCCAGCTTTTTCTGCTTATGTGGTGCTGAGGAATCGAACCCAGGGCCTCATGCATGCAAGGCAAGCACTCTACCACTGAGCCCCCTTCCCAGCCCCTAACAAATTCTTATGTGAACTCTTAGACTCATTGAGCATACCAAGACTCGGTAAGAAAGTTGCTCTGGTCCTGAGCACTCCTTTTGTTACCCTCATCTCTAGTCTATAGTATATTGGGCTGTGGCTCCAAACACATAGATCCTCTGGCACATCTGTCTTACCTCTACCCCTCCCCCTCAAGCTACCTTAACACCTAGGGTGTGTATAGAGAGGATTTGGTCCATTTGGGGCGGGATGAACCCAGGAAGGAAGGTGGGGAATTCCCATGTGGGCAGGAAATTCATGGATCTTGGATTCATGAAGTATAGCTTGTGAGGGGTAGTGAATCTAGAAGGGTGTCCCATTGGCTTCTTGAGGGTGAGCCAGATGGGGGCTCCTGGAGCCCAGGCTGAGGTAGCGACCTTCTTGCCTAGATGCAGAGGTAGAGCTGCCTCTATGTGCATGTTCTTCCTGGAATAACTGGGCAGGCAATGGAATAACAGGCATCTGGCTGTGCTTGTCCTTTAGGAATACAGCCTCTGTTAACTGTGTTAACTGCAGCCTGGACTTGACTGAAGTGTTGGGTGGCCACTGTGGTGTCTGGTATAAAATTCTTTTTCACGTGAGTGATACTAGGTAATATGGTAGCCTCTATCTCTCTCCTGTACCTCTCATTCTTCTTCCTGGAGTGTCTGTGCCTAAAATTGGTTCTTCCCTTACCACAGTCTCCTATTAAAGGTATCACTGAGTATGAAGAGGTGTGCTTAAGTGTGCAGGAAGAGTCCAAGGTGCTGTGTGTGTAATAATGATTAGCAATTTGCTGGAAATGTCAGGCTATAAGGCTACTGTTATCAACAAGATTTGTGTGTGTGTGTGTGTGTGTGTGTGTGTGTGTGTGTGTGTGTGTGTGTGTGTGTATGGGGAATAACAAAATGTTTTTGAGCAGGAAAAAGAGAGAGAGGGCCAGATTATTAGCAGGTTGTGGCTGGTGGGATTGGTGCATGGTGAGTGCCTGAGCCTGGTGAGGAGGACCACAGTGAGCACTTAGAGCTCTTAGCTGGCTGAATGTAAGCAGATGCCAGTCAGCACACAGGGAGGGGTAGTGGGTAGAGCAAAGACCTCTTCATTTTCTCTCCAGCAAGGCTAAGTTTCAGTGACCTTCCCTGACCTTGATAGCTTTCTAAGGAGCCAGAGCAGCCCTGATGGGGTGGGATGTGTGAAGGTCAACAGGGTGGGTATATCAGCACTTTGGTCCAGCTAGGATCCCAGCTTGGATCCTAGTTATTTTTTGTTTCTTACATCCAAAGAATCTTGACAGATACAAGTCTTTTCCCATTCTTAACTATTCTAAAGAACACAAACATTTCTTTGGCTGTATATTTTATATTCACTTATTTGGTTTATGTGCTTTTGTTCAGTGTTTTCCTGGTAATGGTTATTACTGATGCTTGAGTTACCTCTACCAATCAATGAAAGCTGGAGATCAAGATGAAACTTATTTGCCATTGCTGCCAATCACTTTGTTCTGGAAAGTTCTGACACTTCTTCCAATCAACATACCCAGAAAAAATGCAGACGAAATGAAGGCTGAACATGTCTTCTTTAGCAAAAGCAGGGCTTCTTTCTGATACCCTTGGAGAATCTTCTCATTGGTCTCTTTTATCCTGCTGTATATTCAATCATTATTTCTTTCATTTATAATTAATTTGTAATATCAGGAGGGTCTTATATACTGTTTGGGAAGCAATGTGAATTGGTCTCATCTTGCCTCCCAACTTTAATTGATTCATAGAGGTAGCTTGAGCATTGCAGCTGGTCTCTTCAGGAAAAGTGTCATAATTAATTAGCCACATCTGACATGGCATTGGAAGGCAGATTCTGGATATATGTGCCATATACTTGTCATTCCGAATGCAGCGTCCTTCCTAATAGTTAACATGTCCAGTGTATGATCTTGCTCTGAGATTATATTTGTTTAAGCACATTCATTGAAACAGCTCATTTCATATTTGGCTTTCTTTATCTGTTAATGGTCCTTCCCTGGTCGTCTGGTGCAATGTGAGGAGCTGCTGGATTGAATTATACAACCTAGAGCTAATTCTGACTTTATTCTAATTATATCCATCTGGGGAGTAACAGCTCTGGGGGCTCAGCGTTCCATCCAAGAAATGAAAGCCTTGAACTAAATAACCAAGAAGTTTCCTCACAGCTCAACTACACTGTTACTTATATGAGCCAATCTCTGTCTCTTAGTGGCATGCTTCAATGACCTTAGTTATACAGTCTGGGCTTAGGTGATAGCCCTTCAAATATTTTCAGTCATGTCCCTCTGAGCTTTTTGGTCCAAAGTAAACATGACCAGTTTCTTTAATCACTGCTTATGAGAAAGGGTTCTGGATTTTTCACCATTCTGGTCATATACCAGTATCTTCCTGAAAGTATGACAACCCACAACCTCCTGGTTATCCATGTGTGCAGCCTGTCCCTACTGGCAAATAATGCTGCCCAAGAATCTGTGTATGATTGTGTTTTGTAGTTTCACATCCTTTCTTCCAGGCTGCCTGCAGAATAGATGCAAGGAGCCATGTTGTCAAATCTGGAAAGGGGAGGTTCTTCTCTAGAAATCAGTAAGCAATCCAAGAGTGGATTTCAGAACAGGTATGACTTCATAAATTTAGAAGATTCACCAAAGATGCCTTTAATTTTCACAGCAGTTTCTTTCTTCTGCCTCCTTTTTTTTTTTTTTTTGATCTCCAGGTTATCTCCAATCTGTCTGTTCCCCTCCCTATTTGAGCCAATCACATCACACGACCCCATGACCCTAGTAGCTCTTGAGTTTGTCCTTTGCACGAAAGAACAGGTGTAAGGGCTGTTTGTTTAAGGAAAATAGAATGGAAAAAAGAAAAGCAAAAACAGATTTGGGGAGGGCTCTAATCTGACTGTAAATCTACTGGAACCGAGGGTTCAACCATTATTCTGGTAAAGTATGACACCCTGATTGATCAGGGTGTCAACATCCAAAACCCAAGGAACGGAGGAGCTGAAGACCATGACCTTGCATATGCTACAGGCCTAGGACATTGGTCTGTATCTTCATCTCTTCACCCTCCCCTTGCTTGGACCCTCCATCCTGGTCTTTATTCTTTGACCCTGCTCCTGCTTAGGGCCTTTGCATTTTCTGGCCTCTCCATGTGAAGGACTCTTGGTCACTGCATGGCTCACTCATTCATTTTCCTGGGCCCTGGTTCCAATGTCACCTCTTTAGAAAGTGTCTTCCAATCACTTTATTTAAGATGAACCCTCTCTTCAAACACTTCTTCCCCAGCCCTTTCTCAACAGAACCTATCAGCACTGAACATAGACTTAATACCTTATTTACATGACCTCGCTCATAAACTCCATGAAGGCCAGAGCTTTGCTGTTCCTCTCAGAATATGCAGAACCCGCAGTTTATATCTGTGATGACATAACTTTTCATTCACATTTTTTTCTTTTTCTGTTCTTTTCCTTTATGCAACCCCTTTCCATGCCAGTAGCCCACAGGCAGAGGCCAGGCAATGGTTCAGGACCACAGTTTGCTCTGGCAAGGGACACTATGAAAAGCCCACAGGGACAGGTCTGCCATAAATCTAACCCATGCATGATGACAAAACTTTTAAGGCACTAATCTCAATGCTTATTAGCACAATTATTGGTGTTACAGGAGCATTTTGTAATGTTCAGTAGCAAGCTAGTAAGTCTCCTAGTTGACAAGTGAGTCGCTGGGGATGGGAATATCAGTTGATTTGTGCAGTATGGGCCTGTTCAGAGGCAACTCACAGCAAAACCAACCACTGTCTATACAAAGTTGTCAAGAGTCACCGTGTGCAGGGGAACACTGTAGCCTCCATTCAGAGGAGAGATTAGACACGAAGGGAAGAAAGGGGCAGTGGTGCATGCTTTTTGTTTCTTTATAGAATCACCAAAACTTATTGCTAGACCTTGGGCTTCTTTCTCCTATCATTTTTAGGGCTAGGCCAGTTTTGCGTACTTCAGTGATCTGGCATGAGGAATGCCTCTAGGTGGCAGGTCAGGGCAGCACAAGCTGCTAGGCTGAGTGGGCATATATGCTGTGCAGGTAAACTTGGCAGGGGAAGGTGATAGGAAAGAAGTGGACACAGAAGAGGGATAAGCATGAGTTAAACCAAGGACCAACAAAGAACTCTCAAGGGAGCCCGGAGAGGAAATCTAGGAGCAGTGGTGATGTGAATCTGGAATTCAATTCTGCAAGTTATTTGTCCAAGGTGAAGTGACTCTCCAGGCAGGGGGGGAAAGAGGGAAGGTCCTATAGCAGGATTGACATCCTAGGTGGAGGGACTGAAGCCACCTGTCAACATACCCAAAATCTACTGCTGTTTTATTAAGAACGTCTTTATTATTGAGACTTGAGTGAGGCCCCGGAATACAACCTGGTTACATTGGGTGGGAATAACTGTGAACCTAATTAGTCACTTGTTCTTAAGGGTAAATTTCACTCATCAAGCTTTTTTCCCCCTCCAGTGGCAATAATAGCTTAGACTTGTTTTCAACCAGAATCAGTCAATGGCAGAATGCATTTTCTAAAGATGGCCACAATAATCTTTTCTGTCCCATGTGTCAAAATGACCTTGATGATCCTGTTGAGTGATGGGGTCTTGTCTCTTCCTTACACTTGGCTGGCTCTTCTGCATCTAAAAATGAATGTGGCAGATTCTCAAATACCTTGGCACCCTTCCCCTCCATAATTTTCCTCTTTTGTAGTAGCTTCTTCTCCCAGTCTCAGACAAAAAAAAAAAGACTTGCCATGAACTCAGCTGCTTTTCTTGAAGATATACAAGAGTTTTTTTGTTGGCAGAGGCATATTTTAGTCATCTTTTTCAGGTCACTGTGCGTGAGAGTAAAGGAAAAACCTCAGATACCATCCTCACATCATGCAGGAGGTGACAAGGTCAGTGGAAATGGCAAAGATGTCTATATACAAAGTATTACCAGGAAAATGGCTTCCATTCCAACTGTGGGATGTCAGTCATTCTAGGTTATCTGTAACTACCATTTACCTTTGAGAGGCTATGAACTCAGATAACCTCAAAGACCTTCAGGTCCAAAAGATAAGGCCCTGTCTCCCACCTCTGAATTTTATTTATTGTAGGCCTTGCTTCTTGACAATACTTTGATTCACTGGTCGTGGGTGATTTACTTTCTCTGAAGTTCCATCACCTGATGTTGTTTAGAGACTAGGATTCAGGCCGGAAGCAATTACTTGGTGCCAGTTGGGCAATACTTTTATGTATGGTGGAGGAGCAAATGTCTCAAATACTCAAATCTGTGGATCCTGGAGAACCTAGGGTGTTTTTTCAAGGAGCATCCTATTAGCCCATCCTGTCCACTGGACAGCCAAGGAAGGGCCGAGTTTGTTCAGGTGCTGTCTGTCCTCCCAGTATGCTGGCTGTCCAGTTTGATCCTGAGAGGCAGGACTGGAAGTTTCCAGGCACTAGCCATGTCCCAGAGCATCAAGCGTCGGGGCAGGGAAGCTCTCCATGATCCAGGTCTCAGCTTGTGTAGTTCTTCATGGCACATCCTACACAACAGGGTTCTCTGTCTCAGGAGCCACTTCATTAGTGCAGACATCTGTCTTCCTTTTCCCTGGTAATGACAAAGTGCCAGGAGTTACCTTTTCAGTGTTTAGCATTTTGGCATTCTTGGTCTGGCCGCTGAATCTATGTGTGCTAATGCAGTAAGCTCAGGCAAAGGAACATCTCTCCTTATCCTCCAAAATCTGGGGGTGGGATGGGAGAGGAGATTCTTTAAAAAGAGGAGTTCTTTCTAATGTCTTCCTGTGCTATATATATGGCTTACAGAAGGTATAGAGAGGGCTGTGATGGGCCTGGTAAGTAATCAGAAGCCACATGGCAGAATTAAGTCCAGCATGTGATCCCTTGTGTGTAGATCCTTTCCACTATCCCAGGTGGTTGGGTCCTCTCTGTCCCTTCTCAGGGGCCAAAACTACTCTTTTATGAACCTTGAAACATATAGTCTGAGACCATTGGTACAAAATATCCAGAGTAGACAAATGTGTAGTGATTAAAAGTGATCAGTGGTTGTCCAGGGTTGTGGGAGGCATGGGAGGATTTGGGAGGTATTTTTTTTAAGTGGGCAATAGGAATGTTTTAAAGTTGGTTGTGGTATTGGATGTACAACTCTGTAAATATGCTAAAAGTTATTGAGGTGTGCACTTTATAAATAGATGCATTATACAGTGTGTAACGTTTACCTTAATAAAGGTTTGTTGTTGTTGTTGGTCACAGGCTTTGAACTCAAGGCCTGCTCAGGATTTTCTTGCCTGGGCTGACTTTGAACTGTGATTCTCAGATCTCAGCCTCCTGAGTGAGTAGCTAGGATTATAGGTATGAGCCACTGGCACCCGGCTAATAAGGTTGATTTTAAGGAGCTGTTCTTGGGCTGGGAATGTGGCTTAGTGATAGAGTGTTTGCCTAGCATGAATGAAGCCTTGGGTTCGATTCCTCAGTACCATATAAACAGGAAAGGCCAAAAGTGGCTCTGTGGTTCAAGTGATACAGTGCTAGCCTTCAGCACAGAGAGGCTCCGGGATAGAGCCCAGGCCGTGAGTTCAAGCCCCAGGACTGGCAAAATAAATAAACAAACAAACAAACAAATAGCTGTTCTTTTCTTGGAATCTATCTTCTTTCTGTAAATAAATACTGGAGACTCTCAGGGGCAAAGGGCTAGGGCCAGATGCTATGCCTGTAGACAGAGCCTGTAGGAGGAGTGCAGTCTAAGCTGCCACCAGCTCTCCCTGTCCCCTGGGAAGAATATCAGCAATCATGCACTCTTTGCCTCCATGCTTAGTGGATGTGCCAAGATGCTGGCTTTCCAGGACACATTCACTGTAGTGAGCTCTCAGTGCTTCTTCTTTGCTGATCCAGGGACCAGCAAGCTCAAACAGTTGGATGTAAAAGCAGCCACAGAGCCTAGGTCAGTCCAGTCCATTTTTCAGGGACAGAGCATCTGGAAGCAGAGAGAAAGCTAAGCTGGGTGCAGGACTCAGTGTTGTTGCCTGATCTCAGATTCCCCCATCCCCCCCTTTTTTCTTAAAAGGTGGCACTGCCAGGCATTGTCCAGGGAAGGGACTTCTCTCAGAGAGACACTTTCTAAGAATGGTAGGCAAGGAGAGGTTGTGAGTCCCTGGTACTTTTTCTCAATACATATTTATCAATCCTAGTCATATTTTATGGATCATTGAGTTCTAGGCACCACTGGTAATGCCCCATGGTGGCCTAGCCTTTGCTAGGGAGTGTCATTAGCTCTGTGATCAGGATAAACAACTGAAATTAAAGAAAATCTGCACCTAGCTGTGGGTATATGGAGGAGGCTTCCTGGAGCAGGCTAACTTTGAAGATTTAAGCCAAATAGAAAAGGGGAATTGAGAGGAAACTCCCAGTCAGATGGAATAGAATGTGCAAAGGCCCAAAGATGTGTAGGAGAGTATGTCATTTGTAGAGCGTTGAAAGAAAACTTTACACAGTTCAGTCTACTTGAACAACGAATGAGATGAAGAGGGCCAAGAGACAAGGCAGGAGAGGTGAAGGGAATAGGTCATCTGGAGCCTAACATAAACATGGAAGAAGGTTCAACCCAAGCTTCCTACCCAGCAGATTTACCTCCTTCCCCATCTCTTGCACCTGCTGGATTCCTCTTACCTGAGCAGGGGCCACAGTGCCATACTGAGAAGAGACCAACCAGGATCAGGAGCAGCGAGACTGGTACCACCACCAGGAGCACATCCTTGTAGGAGGTCTTCCCTGGTGCTGGACACAGAAGGGTTGGGTCAGGGGTGGACCCAATGCTTCACCCTCCCTCCATCATTGATCCCTGGCCCCTGGCATACCTGTCTCATGGTTGCAGCTCTTCCAAGGGGTGACTGTGGCCACACCCCAGCTGACAGGGTTGGAGATGATACAGGAATAAGCCACATCCTTGTCTCTCAGTCCTACCGAAATACTTAGCACCTGTCCCTCTGTGAAGAGGCTGTGTGGTTCAACATCAAGGTCCATTGTCCCTTCTCGTCGCCAGCTATAGGTTAAGTCACTGATGTTGGGACCCAAGCAGGACAGGAAGACCTGGCAGATGTTAGAGGGCTGAGTATCCCCTGTTACAGCAACGAACACCTGAACTGTGGGCCTTGGTACTGCATCTGGGTAAGAACAGCAGAGCAGATAGTCATTACAAGGATGTTGGGCCCACCAGACAGAAGCTGAGTCTTAGGTCAATATCCAAACCCTTTGTGAACTGATTCCCTCCAGTGTCTCCTCCTTCCGACACTCATTAATTTGCAACTCTCCTAAGCATGTGATGCTGTTTCAGATCTTTCATGCTTCTTTGTAGTTCATTGGCACACATAAATGATTTCTCTCTCTGTCCTCCTAAAGAGCTCCTATGTAATCTTCAAGACCCAGCTTGGACATATTAAAGTCATTAAAGTCTAAATTGTGAAATTTTCCCTGTTATTTCAGGAATGGCTTTTAGCTTTCTAAGCAGTCAACAAGAGATAACAAACACTTATTAATTCAGGCAAGAAAACACATCCCTGGGGATTTGGAGTTTATAGTTTAGTAAGAAAGACAGATCCTGACAAATGACTATGAATAGCTAAAAAAGAATAATGAGAAGGGCACAGGACAATATGCTTTTAAGGAGCTCAGAGGGAGTGGCTCTTTTTGTTATCTCAATAACCTTAGCAGCCTAGTGTCAGAAAATAGGTGTTCAATACCTAGGCCACTGAGCAAATTGGTGTCCTGGTGCCCTAAGCAGTGCCTTCCTCATTGCTATAGAGATTGATGAGTAAATCTGAATCTCTGTGGCAATGGGGCCAGTGGGAGAGCATTACAATGTCAACGGGAGTGCTCAGTGTCTGACAGCATTCCAGAGTCAAGCAGAGTAAAACCTCCTTAATGCCAGCTCAGTCTGGAGGGATTTGTGATATGAAAAAGGAAATGATTTGCTGGGCATACTAATAGTATAAACAAAGATTACAGGGGGGATATTTACACCACTTAGGAGGACACTCGGCTTCCAAACACGATCAGGCGCAGTAGAAACACCCATCGACATGTCTCGTAACTGATCTGCTAATTCACATCATTCTTATCTATTGTCAAAGCAGAGCTCCTAAGGATGGCTGCTTGGCAGCTTCCTGCAATTAGTTCTAATCACGCTATGTATTTGGAAGCAATAAAACAGCAATTTCCTTAAAATCTGTAATTCAGATACTGAGAACAAGGCATTTTAGAGCTTAGCGGTGTGGGTGCTGTGTGTATTGTCACATTCAATGTCCTCATTTAACACATGCAGCAGCTGAGAATCACAAGGGGGGAGGGGCTGTAGAGCTTCCATGGTTGTGGGGGTTAGTCACTGTACAAGGGCATCAGGCTAGAGGGTTGGGGTGGGGTGGGGTGTGTGTGCTGAAATCCAGCCAGCATTCTGCTTGCCAAGATGTGCAGCCTGGCTCAGGGCTTTGTGTATCCAGGAGGGCATCCTCTCATTGCACATCTGTACTGTGAATGGCTCCCCCCAGGGAGGCCTGATAACTGTCTCTGAGAGTTCAAGATGCCTCTCTGGTTTGCTTATAGCCTTCCTTTCCTCTGCTTCCTTTTTTCAGTTGCTATCCCTACTTTCCATTCTTGATTGATTGATATCGTGTGTGTGTGTGTGTGTGTGTGTGTGTGTGTGTGTGTGTGTGTGTGTGTGTTTTATACCAGTACTGGGGCTTGAACTAAGGACCTTAGTTTTTTTGCTCAAGGCTGGCACAGTATCATTTGAACCACAGCTCCATGTTTGGCTTTTTGGTGGTTAATTGAAGATAGAAGTCTCATGGCTTTTCCTTCCTGGGTAGGCTTTGAACTATGATCCTCAGATCTCAACCTCCTGAGTAGCTAGGATTATAGGTGTGAGCCATCAGCACTGGGACCTACTATCCATTTTGATTTTTCTTCTTTATTCTATTCATATTTTGGTCCACTATTTCCACTGAAATTGTGGTTTAGTAATCCCTCTCATCTCTTCCCTAAGCCATTAGAGAGATGAATGAGACTAAAAGACATTTTTTTTTAAATCTGTCATGGGGTTTGAACTCTGGGCCTGGATGCTGTCCCTGTGCCCTGTGCTCTAAGCTCAAGGGAAGAACTCTACCTCTTGAGCCACAGCGCCACTTCCAGTTTTCTAGTGGTTTATTGGAGATCAGAGTCTCACGGACTTTTCTGCCCAGGCTGGCTTTGAACCACGATCCTCAGATCTCAGCCTCCTGAGTAGCTAGGATTACAGATGTGAGCCATTGGTGCCTGGCTTTTTTTTTTTTTTTTTTTTGACTAGCAGAAATGTGTAGAGACAGTGGAGGAATGGAAGGGGGCGGTGGCGGAGTGGAATGGGGCAGTGAAGGAGGGTTTGTTGCAGAACAAAGCCCACTCTGCTCCCGGATAACTCAGCTATTCCAGCTGCAAGGGATAAAAGCAGCAGCAGAGACCACCCTGGAAGATCAAGTGAAGCAGAAAATCTGCTTAATGGGGTCCTGCCAACCCAGAAGAACATGAAAAATAAAAGCAGTTGGTTTTTAGCTCTTAAGTTTTGTTTATTTTGCTTTTTTTTGGTTAGTTGTAGGACTTGAACTTTGGGCCTGGGTGCTGTCTCTGAGCTTTTCAGCTCAAAGCGAGTACGCTATCACTTTAGCCACCGTGCCACTTCCAGTTTTCTGGTGGTTAATTGGAGTCTCATGGCCTTTCCTGCCTGGGCTGTCTTTAACCGTGATCCTCAGATCTCCGCCTTCTGAGTAGCTAGGAATACAGGTGTGAGGCACCAGTGCCTGGCTAGCTCTTAAGTTTTGAGATACTTTGTTTTATAATGATGAATGACAGTGAATCCAGGGATAGCATCTACTTAAAATGTCTCTAAAAATAAACCACCTCTTTTAACAAAAACAGGGCTACATTCAATGCACAGATATGAAAATAGAACCAGATAACTTGAGGGGCTAGGTAGAGAGACATTGATAGAAGGCATATCCTTAATCAAGGTGCATTATCCTCATAAATGGACACATTGAATTTGTCCAACTACTTAAAGATAATAAAATTAAAAACAAAATAATTCAAAAATAAAAAGAAATGCAGGGCTGAGAGTATAGATCAGTGGTACAGTCCATACTCAGCAAGTACAAGCTCTATTGTCAATCTCTAGCACTCAAACAACAGTAGCAGCACCAACAACCACACACACAAGAACCCCAACAACCTTGGCCGGGCATAGTGGCTCATGCCTAGCTAGGTGTAGGTGTAGTACACACGTAGCGGAGTGTAGTGGCTCATGCTTGTAATCCTAGCTACTCAGGAGACTGAGATCTGAGGATTGTGATTCAAAGCCAGCCCAGGCAGGAAAGGCTGTGAGACTCTTATCTCCAATAAACCACTCAGAAAACCGGAAGTGGTGCTGTGGCTCAAGTGGTAGAGCGCTAACCTTGAGCTGAAGAGCTGGGGGACAGCGCCTAGGCCCAGAGTTCAAGCCCCATGACCAAAAAAACCCCTAAAAACAAAAACAAACAAACAACCCCCCCAACAACCAAACTAAAGAGAAATACACACCCAAAATTGTGGTATAATTATAGTAAAAGTTGACTCTAATTTACAAATAGAAACTGTTATGTTGTAATTTATATTTTAATTAGAAGTGGTTTTTTTAAAACTAGGAAATAAAATACATGCTGGGGCTGGGGTAAGGACCACAAAGGGAAGGTGCCCAAAAGGAGGGAAGAGGTGAACAAATGTAGCCATTGTGTCCATGGAAGATTATGCAAACGTTGAACTCTGTAGTTGGAGGGTTAGGATGGGAGTGGGAAAAATGGGAGAGAGTGATGGAAGGGTTGACATTGGTGAAGATGGATTGTTCTACATAACCTGACATATGGAATTGTCACCTCGTTGTACAACTACTTAATAATAAAACTAAAAATTTTTTTGGTGTTGCTGGGGTTTGAACTCAGAGCCTTGCGTTTAGTGGCAATGTTAAATAGGTAACACTTTCCTATTTAGTTGTACAGAAAATGATTGCATAACATAATCTATGGATTATGGAATAAATGGATAGGAGAGAGCTTAGTATCATTGCATTTCACCTTCATGGTCACTATCCACGGGAATATCATAATGCTTACTTTACAAATGAGAAGGTTGAAGGTCAGGGAGGCTAAGAATTGAGTCTGAGGCTGCTAAGCCAAGAACAGATCGAGTGGAGTTCAGATAAGGACAGTGGAATGGCGAAGCTCAGCTGCCCCAGGCAGGCGCTCATGTGGAAGTATCCGGGGAGTTTTCTTCGGTGCGATTGCCAGGGAGCAGCTGTTCCCTGAGTTAGCAACATGATCAGAGACCAAAGTTTTCTGGAACTCACCTCTCCCCAGGTGCCGTGACTCATGATTTCGGATGCTTTGTAGAAGGAGAGGGTCAGGACGCCAATGTCACCCACACTCACCGTACACCTTGAGTTGCAGGGTTTGGGTCCAGGCCCGGCCTCCTGTGTCCACCATCAGCACAGAGAAGTTGCCGCTGTCTCCAGACTCCAGGGGCCCAAGTTCCAGGCTGAGGTTACTGTGTAGCTGAGCTCGGCCCAGGAAGCGGGAGTGGTACAGAGTCTCCAGGGAGCCCCTGAAGAACGTGGCCAGGAGCTCCTCCGAAGGCCACAGAGATCGCCAGATGGCTTCACGAACTTGAAAATTGGGCGGGTGCTCTACCACCAGCAGCACAGAACCCCCCACCTTGCTCAGCACTTGAGCACAAATAACTTGAATAAGTGCTGGAAGGACAAAGACCCTGGTCAGCCTACCAGTGAATGCTGCTTCTCTCTCTCTCTCTCTCTCAGGCCCCTGAGCTGCCCTGGAGTGGATAAAGGCCCCTCCACCCACACTCTCTATACTTAAGTTGAGTCTAGGTATTGGGGATAAAACAAGTAGGAAGAGAATTTCATTGTAGTCTATTTATGTTTGTCAGATAGGAAGCCAGACACTGAAGCAAGCAAGTAAAGAGTATGTTAATGGGGGCACGGGTGGATCATGTCTTCAATCCTAGCTACTCAGGGAGTTGAGATCTGGGGATTTAGGTTCAATGCCAGAAAGGGCAGATATATCCTCAAGTCTCTTATTTTCAAGGTGGCAGAGTGCCAGCCTTGAGTGAAATAGTCAAGTGAGCTATTGAGGCTCTGAGTTCAAGCCTCAGTACTGACAGGCCCAGACACAAAGTACGTTAAGTATTGTGACAGGAAAATGAGTTGGTCCTAGGACTAGGAAAACACAGGTAAGGTGATAGGGATTTTCACTTAGCCTTGAGGAGCTGAGAATGGAAGGAGCGGGAATCAACCTGGCCAAGCAATGACTGCTGGAGGCAGGGATGGGGAAGTGTTTAGAAAGAGGGAAGAGCAGTGGGAGGACCTGGAGGGAGTGTGTGTGTGTAGGAACTGAAAGTGATTTTCTGCAAGGAGAGTAGGAAACTGCAGAGGTTGTAGGAGCCAGATTGTGCTGAGCCCCAAAAGCTGCATTGGACTTGGGGCTTTTATCCTTAGAGCAATGTGTGTGTGCATGGTGTGGTGTGTAGGGGTGGGGTGGGGTGGGAGGGGGGGGAAGTGGGTAGGTGGGGGGGGGGGGAGGGGGGAGTTGCATCTTGGATGGGCTTTAAGCAGTAGAGCGACATGATTAGATGCATGGTTGGGAAGATCACTCCAGTCAGGGGTATAGAGAATGCATCCAAGACTGAGGCTGTTTATATTAATCCAAGAGGCGGGGGGGGGGGAATGGAAACTTGACGGGGGGAAGGAGCCTCAGGAGAAGTGGGACCAACCAAGAGATTACTAATCCTAATTGGAAGGATTTAGTAATAGATTAGATCTGGAGAGTACAGGAGGCAAAGGAATAGAGATGGCTCCCAGATCCTTGGGACCCATTGGTCCCAAAGTCCCAGCACTGTGAGCTGGAACTGGGGGGAAATGCACAGGGGGATGCTTGATTTCTAGGGGGATTGATTTGAGTTTGAGATGTGAAGAAGATATCTCTGCTTGGAATACCCTCCTGATTCCTTCCCTGGCTGATTTCTTCCCATTCTTGAAATTTCCCTGCTTCCTCCAACCTCCCCTATCTCTCACCCCAGGTTACAACTCTTTCTGTACTCCCCATAGTAGCCAGGCTCCAGCACCATGCCTATTGTTATGCTATTAGTATCTGCTTCTGAGTCAGCACCTCCCATAAGATCATGAGCTCTTCCAGGCCAACAACAGTTTATTTCATCCTTGTACTCCCAGTGTCCACCCTGTTTAGGATCAGGCTACAGGAGAAACTCTAAATTGTGCTGAATTTGCTGAGGACTGACCCTGGGCCTGACACTGCAGCAGACATGAGGAATAGTGCAGAAGAAAGGCTGACACGTCATGGGCCTCATTGTTGGGAACTGGGTTAAGGATGGGCACTGAACTGGCAACAATAGCTCCAATCCCTCATCCATCTCACATAACCTCTCTAGCCCCAGACATTTCCATCTCGCCTAGACATGGCTTCAGAGCCGGTGTTAATACAAAATGCAGACAGAGCATGTAGAGAGAATTGCACTGGATGCCAGTCGAGACCTATGTTCTAGTCCGCCCTGGTGTTCACATAAATCAGTTGTGTTACATTCAGTGTATTATCTTCCTTCCCTAAGCTTCAGTGGTCTTGCCTGTAAAACATGGGGCCTGTATTGGATCATATTTACTCATCTCTTGCCCCAAAGAACCTAAAATTATTTAAGGGCTAGGGATATTGTCCAATATCCCTATGGTGAGATCATCTGTTTAGTGTGCAGAAAAAGCAATAATTATTTTTTCAAAAAGTCCACATGTTCAGTGTCTAATTCCAAGTACATATCCAATGACTTAAAAGGTTTTAAGGATCTTTTAACAACTATAAAGTGTCACTTCCCACACACATTTAGAAATGCTGAAGAAACCTGAAGGGCTTTTAGAACCCCCAGGGCCAGAAGCTCAGGCAGGGATGATGGGCAAAACAACAGGTGTGTCTCTGATAGAAACAGTAGCATTGTGGCCTTTGCTATGTATCATGTGACTCCCATCCCTCAGCTTGCAGGGGCTGACACTTGTTGATAGAGAGGGAAAGTCAGGCATCAGATGGCAGGATTTGCCCAGTGAAGAAGAGGCCCCTTAGCTCAGCCATTTCAACGTCTCGTTGTTGTCAGCCATTCTCAAGTCCATAGGAACCATACTGAAACCTGCTTTAATTTCTCCTTCCTACTTAATATCCACCCTCCCCTTGCACAGGCTGCAAAGAGGGACCCTAGTGTTCCCACAGACTGCCGAGAGCACACTTCTTAGATCATAAGGAGTCCTGCTCCCGCTCTCCAGGCCTTCCTCTTCTCTACCCAGACTATAGGTAGAATTCCCACGTGCTACCAATGCCACAGCCTCCCAACTTTCTCTCCGGATCAGGAGTGCTCCTGGTTTGTTTCTAATTTTCCTGGGCCACATGACTTGGGGCATAGATGCTTCTAGTGCTGCAACCTCCTCCCATCCAGTATTCTCACGTCCCGCGTTGTATCCACTAGCTTGAAATGTTGCCCCAAAACTTGCTTCACTCTCCTCTTCTCCCCCCGAGCTCCTGGGTTCTCATTTGGCTTGGTGGTAGTGGTAGGTAGGGCTGCTCAGGGGTCTGAAAGGGGCCTTCAGCACTCTGAGGATAGGTTGTCCACCTCCCCCACTTACCTTCCCAGAGAAGCAGATGCCAGAGAGACCACATGGCCATTTTCTTCCTCCAGAGATGCAGGCAAACTCCCTTGACAACCCAACTCCAGAACATTTCAGGGCCAAGGCGGATGCACGGGAACAGCTGTGGTCTTCTTCTGGAAAGTCCCATATTAGGAAGGAGGAATCTTGACTCAGAACAAGATACCCCGAAAGTGAAAACATCCACAGTAAAGTGGAAGTTGGCAGCAGGCTTCCCTGGACCTTGCTGGGGTTTTGAGAGCAGATTCTTGTAAGTCAGACTCTTTCCTGTGCACATGGCTGGACGATGCATAGTGATATGCACACCTACACAGCCCACGTGCTGCTCGATCACTGTCACCAGGCCTCACTGCATCCAGCCCTGCCCAGTTCTGTCCGGTCTTCCCTATAGCCACAGAAAGCCTTCTGAGTTGCAGTGCTGACCAAATCACTTCTCCTCTGCTGGAGAGTTCTCTCTTGGCTTCCTGTTGCTCTTGGGATAAAGACTGAACTCTCAGCTCAGCACGTGAGGCTTTGGTATACCTACTCTGCTTTCTGGTTGTCTCATCCAGAATGATCTCTTTTCAGAATCACCTACGTTACTTGTTCCTCCACCAGGCATGAATGGGGTTCCATTTATCCTTGCAGACCTGGCTCAGCTTTGTGCCCAGCCAGGTTGTCATTCAACACTTCCGGATCTCAAGGGGAGTGAGAACTGCTCCCGTTCTGTTCCTTTGTGTGTACAGATTCTTCTCTCATTGCCCTCAGCATATCACAATGGCAGTTTTCTGATGTTCGCTGGTTAGACGGTGATGGATAGTGTCTGTTTCTGTGTTCTCTTCAGTGCTGGGTGCATGATAGATGTTTAATGAATATCTGTTAAATGAATGGATGAGTGCTAGACACGATTGCCTGTTTTTTTCTGTGTAGTCTCTGTGATTGTTCTCAGACAGGTCTTCTGGTAGCCTTGTTGGAAGTGGGAGAAGTTAAAGGCAAGGTGAGCTCCAACACTTTGTTGAGGTAGGATGTGCTTCACGTTTGCCACACATACCCTCTTTTCACTCTGTTTCTCTTCTCACTTTTACTTACCTGGTTGCTTATGTGAGAAAAGATGTTGTTCTTGAGGAAGATTCCTGGCTATCTTGAGTGAGGATGGTTGAGTCTGGTCCTGGGAAGCCTTTGACCTGTTAGTCAAACAACATCATGCTTTGGACTCAGCCAAGATGTATGCAGATGGCATGGTGGGAAGCAGAAGTTTGGGACTAGAGCTCCTGCCTTCCAGGTGCTCATAACCAACATGCAGAAGCAGCGATGCTGGGGCTGCCTGTAGACAAGTGCCTTTGATTCTACACAGGTTACACATGTAGTTCACACTGCAGGAGGGGGTAGGGAAGAGGTCTCTGTGGATCTGGACAGGGAATGCCTTCTGAGCAGGTGACACTGGACATGGTTTAGATTAGGGAGAAAGGAGCAGGCCATAGGTGCTTGGTGGGCCCTAAACATGAGGGGAAAGCAGAATGTGCAGTCATGGTGGTAGGAAAATAGGCTGTTGGTAGGTAGGGGGAGATGAGGGCCAACAGGGCAATGGTAGGATTGGGTTCAGATCATGGAGACCTTGAATACTGGGTTGAGATATTCTGGAGACCAGTTGCTCATATGGTTGTTAAATCCTTGGGTTGGGTTCCCAGGGATATTGGCTTTGTGGATGGGGCTGGTCTCAGGAATCTTAGTTCTAACCAGCACTTTGCTCCAGGGGAATGTGCAGCAGGTGGACTTTGAGAGAGTTTTAAGAAGCACTTCCTGGATCCTGTTTTGGTCTGGGGGTGACTTCCTGATGAGAGGATAGCATGTAGGGAAGGTTGGCAGAGAAAGACAATGTAGGAAAGCCTGGAGACCAGCTGCTGTGACAGTCCTGGGAAAAAGGACAAAGGCTCGGACCAGGAAGGAAAGATCTGGAGTAGAGAGAAATGGGGCAGAGCGGAAGGCCTGGAAGAACTTGGAAGCTGCCTGGTTGTAGGATAGAGAGGCTGGGAGAGGGGAATTATTTATGACTCTATTGTCAATTCTGTCACCCATTCATCAGGCATTTATTGAGCATCTACTTAGGTGCCAGGTGCTGGGGACACAGACATGAAAGGCTTAGTCCCTGCCCTCAAGGAATTTGAAGTTTAGAGGAGAGGATGGGATATGTAACCCAATAATTACGATCAGTGTGGTGAGAACAATGCCAGAAGTGTGCAGGGGATGCTATGGGAGCTAGAGGGGAAGAGTCCTGCCCCCGCCTGGGAGTGTGGGAGGCTAGGGTAGGCTTTGTGGAAGGGCTGGTGTTGGAGCGGAGCAAACGGATGATGGGAGCAGTTAAGAACTCCAGCTCCTGAGTTAGAGCGGGGAGCAGAGCTTGGCTGTAAAATCACAAGTGAAGTCATTCTTACGTTGCAGTGTGCTCACCAGACGAATGGGAATTCATAACAAGGGATGCCAATCTAACGCCTCTTAGGGTTTGCAATAGGTCTGCTGTATATGAAGTCCTCAAAACACTGTGAGCCATTGTTTTATTAAGGAGCAAGACACAGGGAAGAGGGGGCAGCCATGTGGATGAGGATAAAGGTGTGTTTGAGACAGAGCAGTATCCTGCTTCATCTCTTCTCCTAGTCTTCTAGGCCCTTGAAGGCAGGGACCATGCCCTGTTTATTTCTGTATCCTGTCCATTTCTGAGGACAGGCTCTCCATGAGGAGATACCCTGTAAGCATCTGCCAACTTGGATGGAATGATTCTGGAGTATCCAGACTTGGGCCTGTGAGGGCTTGGGACTAGGGCCAGCATGGACCAGATTCTGAATTCCTTCTGAAGGGACAATGGACAGTCATTATTATTATTATTTTCTGCCAGCCTTGGGGCTTGAATTTAGGGCCTAGGCACTGTCCCTGAGCTTCTTTTGCTCAAGGCTAGCACACTACCACTTGAGCCACAGTGCCACTTCTGGCTTTTTCTGTGTATGTAGTACTGGGGAATCAAACCCGGGACTTCATGCATGCTAGGCAAGCACTCATGGTCATTATTTTTCTTAGCAAAATTGGTTGTTCCTAGTGGTCCTTTAACCCTCTCTCACCTTGGAAGCTGAGGGGGAGGAGGAGGAGGTTTGATAAGGAATGGAACATATCTCACCTGCCCAAAGAGAAGAAATTTATTTAGCCAGCCTGAAGAACCACTGAAAAAAGATGAGCTGAAGACAGCCAGGCTTCTTCCCAGGTACAGGGAAGGGTTAAGGCAGCTACAGGCAGATTCTCCCCACCACTGCTAATCACTGGTTCACACCACATTAATTACCCAGCCACAGGGGGGAGTGTGCTAGAGTAAATTAGCAGGTGAGTTCAAAGGGGCCACTCCCTGCATTCCTTAATTAAGAGAGCAGCTGGCAGCCAGGGCTGCTACTCAGCCTCCCTGGGGCCTTTCTGGGAAACTGGAGTCAGGCAGAGTCTGGTGTGTGCGTGTGTGCTGAGGCTGGAGCAGTAGCAGCAACATCTGCCATGCGCGAATGGTGCAGACTCCACCATAAGCCCATCTTTAGTGTAGGTTGCCTGGAAGGTGGGGAGCAGGTGTTAACCTTGGCCAAACAGCTTGCCTGACCTTGACCATTAACCCTGAGTTGTTCGGTGTAGAGACTCGGGCTGGATGGAATTTGGATGAAGTCGTGCCAAGCTTGCATGAGGTGCCCCGTCCAAGGGCAGAATGGGGCCATGCTTCTCTTGGGGGCTGGGAACAGGGGAGAGAGGGAAAGGAAAAGAAAGTGGGGGTGATTGAAGAATTAAAGCGGGGGACCCAGGCAGGACAGGGAATACAGGACGGATGGAGTACAGACGGAGGTGGGAGAAGATGGAGGTGTTATTGGGGAGAGGCTAGACCCCTGGGTGCAGCTTTGAGATGACTTGTGGGGATGGGGTGAAGGGGCCATGTGAACCTGCTCAGGAACTGCTCAATGGAACTTCAGGGGTAACATGGTTGGATGGAGATCCTGAGCAGTCCAAACCAGAATGGAGTCATTCCTGCCAGGTGCTCCGGTAACCCAACTGATCTTTAAAAAGGAGAGCTCCCAAAACAAGCAAACGAAAGCAAGAAATTCACAGCAGCCACTTTCCTGAGCCCAAGGAAGTCCCTCTAGTTTTAAACCTAACAGGAGAATAGCTTTGAAATGACCTATTATGTAGCCGGGTCAGTTATCAAGCTTGTAGAGGGTTGTGGCCCCAGTTCATGAATTGTGTATACAAGCCAATTTTGTTGAACTTTTGTAACATTCCCCTACCTGCATGGTCTGTCGGCAGACACTATGCCGGGGTGGTGAGTTCCTGGCAGCCCCTTCCCAACCAGCCATGGTGGGCAGCTGTGGAATGGCAGGAGGACTGGACCCAAGGCAGAACACACAAGGCCTCCATCACATCTTAGAAACACCCACTGTCACTGATTTTCTGCAGGGATGACACTCAGAGGTATCTTACCTCTCCTGACATGGCACGGGCACAACCCTGCATCTCCCTGCCTCCTTCAATTTTGTGCTTGTACCATCTCTCCTGTCTCATCCTGGCTCTGAGGGAAGCAGGGAGAAGAGATGGGATCTTTAAGGAACTGCTAGTGTGGAGCACACAGCTGGATGGAGAGAAGCCAGAGAGCCAGGAGGAAGACAGAGTGAGAAGGAACACCTCTATGGAGTGGGGGTGAAGGGCCTACAACTTAGGCTCACCCTGCTTTTAAGGCAATAATACATCTTTCCAGAGATTTGAAGGAAGGCTGAAGAAAAGGAAACAAAGTCCCAGTTGTGCGTTATTGAGGCAGAGAGGGGAAACTAGAAGCTTCTTCATGCATTCACTCCTTCACCAAACCCTTAGATTCCCATCTTGCATGCACTAATGCGTCCAACAAACATTTATGGAGCATTGAGCATACGGATTACACCCCATGAGGTCAGGAACTCACTCGGATGATGACAGCGATCATATACTAATGATGAAAGGAATAGTCACTATTGATCTGGGCCTCACGTGGGAAAGAATTCTACAAGTAGAGCATAAGTTGTTCTCTCAGAGTCTGAAAGAATTCCTCTGAGCCATGGTATGACGAACAATGCAGACTTGTTGATGGTTTCAGGGCCTGCCAGCTGCA